TGTTCATGCTTACTTTATGCACGAAAATAGATTATTTGTCGTTCCTCCTTTAAAATTTTGCTTAATGATACATTTTAGTCGTCACAAAGTTTTGCTCTCTCAGGTTCCGATTATTGTTCAAATTCGATGTTGTGAACATTACTTAATAGGAAAATAAACGTCGATTGCATGACTTGGATTCGCATGGTGGATGGAACTATGAGGCCCGTTTACACTTGTCGCGCGACAATCGCCTTAGTTTCGAAGATACTTGAAATTTAGCTGCAACTCGCGGCGATTTTGGATCGCCGCGACAATCGTAGGGCTGTTTACACGTGCGATTTGAGGTGTGAGAGAACAAAGTGGCGATTGTCGCGCGACAATCGCGCTGCAGAAATTGCAAGAATAAACGAGCCTTGATGGCGCTGTTTGCTAAAGCAATCTGACCTGCGATATATTGAGTGTGATGAATTGAGCAACACCTTATCTCAAACAAGGCTAAAATTTCATGGTAAAATAATAGTTTGGATTAAAAAAAAAATGCCTGAAATAGAAAAAAAAAAACACTTTGAGGTCTACATTATATCCAACTAGTTTTGAATGCATAAGACATATCTCTTACATGGTTGGTGAYTGCAATTAATTGCCYTACATGATAGTGTATTGACATAATGATTTCARATTACAATTCACARATTATGTGAATATGAATATATCATAGTTTTTTCGTAATTTTCCTTCTCGCTAAGTTCAAAGTAAGTTACTTAGATCAATAAAACTAAAACAATAAAATTCAAGTTRAATGACGTTTCCCGTTTCCGTGCCGTTGCACATCACCATTTGTTAAGCAATAGTGTCTCAACCTTCCAGTAAAACATCCTTGCCTGGTATCATTATACTGAAGACTCTCTTAATTCATTTCATTATATCCTCTATTGTATTATTATACTGCAGTACAGAATCATATGGTTAAAAAATAYAACTATTCAAATATACAAAATCTCTTTCATCAGTGTCAAGTCAGGAATAGCGCAATATCAGTTGCTTTAGGGTATCGTAGATGGTTCTAGAAAATTTAAGGAAATGATATTATATTTTCAATATTTTCATTCTTCAGAATCACTTTTGATTTACAAGAAAAGTGAGCTTTAAATTTTTAAACTTTGAAACAACTGTCTTTTACTTTGTCTCACAAAGAGCTTTCCTTTGATTTCCGTTACACATCAACACCTTTGTAAACACTTTTAAAAGTGTTCCAGGTATGCTTCCTATACTGGTGACAATATTTTGTTAATATTAATATACGTGCGAATAGTGCACAAACACTTTGAAACGACCTAAAGCAGTTGGGATACAGGATACATGTGTTATTAGTATAATATTATCATATTAATATGAGTTAGTAATAGATTTTTGTTTCACGCACCATTACGAACAAATCAACTATTGAATAAATAATGTTTAGATATAAAAGAAGAAGTTGTTGTCACGTTTATCAGTCGGTTAACATTTGGGGACCACGAAGGAGCTGACATCAAGAAGTACTATAATTTGCGTTTGGTTTCTATTTTTCTTGTTTTATAAAACCTTCGTGATTTACTCTGCCGTCATTAGGTGATATTAACGCTTCSATGAACGCACGATTAGYCAAATTTATCATTGAGTTATTCATGTTTGGCTGTAAAGGACAAAGYTGTTTCCACGTATATCAGTCAGTTTGGGGACTACGAACGACTCTTATAAAATTATCAACATACATATGATAAGTGCTAAACTGTGAAACAACCTTCAATTTCATTGRAATGAGCAATGTGGATAAAGRGCTCATATACGATATATTTTATTTCTTGAAGCAAAATTTCCCTTTTTCATGGCTGGTGATCGCAATTAGTGACCTTAAAATATAGAGTATCGCTATATTTAGATTATGTGCTAAGCAAAAAAATATATCAACGGRTGTACTATCTTCTTATTTGTTAATTCTCACTCGAAATAAGTTAAATAGAAAGTCACAGTTTTCAGGTTACAACGTTATATTAATCTTAATCAAGTTGAGCGATAGTGAAAATTCTTTCCATAGCGTTCCTTTAGTCATCACCACTTTTGTAAAAAAAGAAAAATGGCTTTGTAATATCATGCTTGGATATAAAGGATGGAGTTGTTTTCACGTTCGTCAGTCGGTTTTGGGGACCACGAAGGAGCCTACATCAAGATGAAGTACTACAATTTGATTTTGATTTCTATTTCCTTGTTTCATAAAACGTTCATGATTTACTCTGTCGTCATTAGGTGACATTAGCGCTTCTATGAACGCACGATTAGCCAAATTTATCGTTGAATTATTCATGTTTGCCTATAAAGGAAGGAGTTGCTTCCACGTTTATCAGTCAGTTTGGGGACCACGAACGAATTGACATCAAGATGAAGTACAGTCTTCTTTTGCTGCTTGTTTTTGGCTTTGTTGCCTTCACCTTTGCTGCTCCTGCAGATGAGGAGGAAAACGAAGAAGAATCTGATCAAAA